GGACAGTGAGGCCATCTCGCACTCCACACTGTGCTAGCGAGTCAGGGTCCTTGAGGATTTTGCCAGCAAAGATTAGGACCAGCTGATCAGGGTGGGCCTTAAAGCGCTGGGATATCTCTTCCTTCAGCTGCTGGATGGTACAAGTGTCTGTAACTGAGAAATCCTCCTTGTCCTTGGGTGTCTTCACTGTCACCTTGATGAGGTGGGGATCCTGAACCAGTGCTGGGTTGCCCTGTGGCAGGGCCTTTCCACTTTTGGCCATGGTGGGCAGCAGGAGGCCCAGGTCTGTGGGGACACAGCTAGGGAATGGGGATGGGAGACCAAGATCAGCATTGCGCCGTGGTGAAAGTAGGAAAGGTGAGCAAGAAGAGGGTGTGAAATCTCAGGGTGGGAGAACCGAAGGGTCCACATGGAAGGAGCAATGAGGTCCCTTGGATAGGATGCTCTGGGAGGATTATGGGTTTAAGAGATATTGAGGTCAGGGGAGGGAAAGCTGAAGTCTTGGGAAAGAGATCTATAGTTGATGTGTATGGGGGCAAAGGCAAGATGAAGGGTCCAGTTTGGGGAACACATACCAATCAGCTGTGGCCCCGTGCTTCCTCTTATACAGGGCTCAAAACTGCCCTCATCTTGCTGAACGGCCACCCCTGAAGCCTTCTGGGCTGGAACCCACTCCATAAGTTCACCTCTGTGACCTCAGCACTGACATCACAGCCTCATACAATGGATTCTTGAGACTTCTCCAAGGAGGATCCCTGGGAACTCTGTCTCCCCCTCCCTTTAACTTTCCTTTCCCTTTATCTCAGTTGCCTTCTTCAGAGTGGCCTGGGCTGACCCTGCCTTCTCAACCAAGAGTCCTGCTCCCGCAGCCTGGTATGTGGTATGCAGAGACTCAGACTAGGGTTGGACAATTGGGAAAGTCTTCTTAATTCCCGAATCCCATTAAAACCCAAATTCAGCTACTCCCCAGTCCAACCTCTCCTTCCGGGCATTCTATGTTCCTGTCTTCTCTCTGATTCAACATTAGCCATGAATTCTTTATATATTTTCAAAGTATTGATTTTCTGATGGGAAGGATCTAGGGTATGAGGGAGGCGTCAAGGATGACATGAACTTTTTATTTTACTTTTTAAAAATTATTATCCCCCAGAAGAACTCAAAGAATGAATTGGCTATTTACTAAGATTAAAAAAAAAACAGGCAATAATGTTGTTGAACAGAAAATTAAGTGTTCAGTTTTACATATATTTGAGATGTCTGTTTTATATCCAAATAGAAATGTAGGAAAGCAGTTCAATTTCATGAGCCTTGAGTTCGTCGCATTGACAAAATATTCAGAGTCATGAGATTAGTGAGTATAGTAAAAGAATAGAAGTAAAAAGACTGAGTCACAGACACTACAATATTTAGAATTCTGAAAGATTTGATGAGTTCAGCAAAGGAAATCGAGAACAAATAAAACACTTCAGAAAAAGAGAGAAAGAGGGAGAGAGGGAAGGCAAATGGAGAGTTTCAAAATGGAGAGAGTCACCAACTGTGTCAAATGAAGCTCATAGATCAATAAGATGAGGACTGTGAACTGACCACTGGATTTGACAAAAGCACATTGGGGACCATGATGAATCCAGGTTTGGAAAGATGGTGGGGCAGAAAACCTGACTGGAGTGTGTTTAAAAGCAAATGAATTGGAAAGGAAGTGGACCTAATAAGAGTATTGTAAATGAGACAAAAAGGATGACGGTTGTGTGGGAATGTGGGGGTAAAAGCATTTTCGTTTGTTTTTTTCTTAAGCTGAGAATATTACATCATGTATTTATTTTGATGGGAATAATCCAATGAGGAGGAAAAAATGATGAAGAAGAAAGAGAAAATAATCACAAGAGTAAGTTGTTGAATAGATATATTACAGGGGTTAGGATCAAGTGCCCAAGTAGACAGCTTGATTTAGGAGCATGGACATTTTATTCATTATAACAAGATGGAGCACAGAGTGTGCGGGTATAGATGCAAGTTAGTTGGTTGATTTAATGGTGGATGCAGGTGGAAGTCACTTCCGATCCCTTTTGTTTTCTGATTGGAATAAGCAAAACATCAGCTGAGACTGAGAAAAGAAAAGGGAGTGTTGAAAGATTGAGAAAAGTACAAAAGTTATGAAATTATTATCTCGAAGAATAAGGTAATGAATTCGCTAGGGCCTGGGAACTTCCAGTGAAGTCCCCAGACCTACGGGGTCAGAATCACCTGGAAACTTCTTATAAATGCAAAATATGTGGCCCCACTCTAGACCCGCTGCATCAGAAATCCTTGGAATGAAACTCAGAAATCTGTTTTAACATATCCTTCAGGTGATTTTGATGCAGATTCTGGTGCAAAACACTGGAGCAGGAAAATGCAGTAGGATTTTTAACAGACCAGTTAAAGCTTTTGGTAGTAAATTTAAAGAGACTATCAGCACATTGTATGCTTTTCTCTGTCTACACAGAGATTAAGCAGTGTTGTCTATAACCATGATGAGTTTGCTAAGTATTAGGCCAGAATGATTATATTGGTAGATCACGGAGTAGTGTTGAGCTAGAAAACTGGTCAGGAAGCAAAAGGAGGTGCAAGGAGGCCACCTACCCACTTCTAAACTCACGGGGAATGAAACAGCCAGCGCTGGAGAAGCAGGATCCTCAGCGAACAGCCAGATTGCAGTTACAGCAAAAAGGTGAGGAAACATTGAGAGAAGGTTGTAGATGGAAGGTTGTGCTGTTGCTACATTATGAGTTCTAAATGGTAGGGTGGAAAGTTTTGGAGAATTGAAGACAAGTGGAAAAGGGAGCCACGTGAGGGATTTTCAGAGCGTATTGGGAGGAGAATCAGAAAGATGACCTGGAGAGCCTGGGCTTTTTTATGTAAACTGAGGCCAACAGTGTACAAGCTTTAATCAGATTAATTGACTGGATAAGATGTCTTAATGGGGAGGTGAAAAATCGGTTTTAGCTATAATTCTTTTCTTGAGATGTATCTTTTTGGTAGGTGGTTACAGTGGGGTGGGAGTCTTTGGCAGTAGGTTTACTAGAAACACTGGGAGCTTCGTGGGCCCGTCCTTCATTTTTGCTGATGGCAATGTCGGAGCTGGAGGATGGGTGGTCTGTGAGGAGCACACAAATCTCTGTGGATCACCTTTGCAGACCACAATCTGAATACTTCTCACCACCTACACTGCTCCCACCCTAGTCCCAGCCACTACCATCTCCCACCTGCTCTATCACAAAAGCCACCTGACTAGTTTCTTTGCTTCTAACTTTTTCCTCTACCACATCTATTCCCTGCTCAGCATCCAGACTTGCATATTGAATTACTCCATTCCTTTGCTTAAATCCAGCAGTGCACTTGTATTGCACTCACAGTAAAATCCAAAGTCCTCACGAGACCTACAACACTCTTCATGATTTCTCTACTGTCCTATTTTCCCCCTCATATTTGTACACTCCACTCCAGCTACACCATCCTCTTGTCATTCTTTTTTTATTATTATTTTATTTATTTATTTATTTTTAAGGAAGATTAGCCCTGAGCTAACTGCTGCCAATCCTCCTCTTTTTGCTGAGGAAGACTGGCCCTGAGCTAACATCCATGCCCATCTTCCTCTACTTTATATGTGGGACGCCTACCACAGCATGGCTTGCCAAGCGGTCCCATGTCCGCACCCGTGATCTGAACTGGCAAAACCCGGGCCCCCAAAGCGGCACATGTGAACTTAAGCGCTGTGCCACTAGCCAGCCCCTCCCCTTTTTATTCATCAACCACAGCAAGAATGAGCCTGCTTCACAGCTTTTACTATTATGCAGCCTTCTCTGCCCGGAACATACTTCTCTGATGGAATTTCACGCTCAGCCCTCTCAATTCCTTCTGATTGCTGCTCAACTGTCACTTTTCAGAGAGGTCTTCTGTGATGATGCCCTATTTAGGATAGCCTATCCTGCTTCTTTTTTCTTCATAGCACTTATTACCACCTAAAATATACATGTTAAATTGAATATTGCCTGTGTCTCCATGAAGGAAAGTAAACTCTATAAATAAAGAATTTTTGTTTTGTCACTGCTATTTCTTCAATGCCTAAAACAATGTTTGATTTATTAAATTATGGCAAGAGCTTATTAAATTACTTAACAATGGAATAATTGAACCACAATTGTTTATATACCAATTGGCTGGTATACTCTTGGTAAAGCAGAAAGAGGAGGAGATGGGACCTTGGCCAACTGTAGAAAACATAAGCTATAAACATTAGATATGCTGAAGGATGTGATATTCTTGGAAGGTGCCATGCACCATGGAGGCATGGGTTTGCAGTGACTGGAATGTGCAGTGAGGGTGGCAGCAGCTCTATCTCTCTGTGCTAAAGAGAGATTAGTTACAGTCCAGCAAAACCCTATGATTGTGACAATGGGAATTAGTAGGAGACTACTCAGAAGATAAGGACTCACCAAGATCTGGCTGAAATGTGGATTTTTCCTACTCTGGCCCACCAGGCCACTCTTCTTCCACTTTCAAACTTGAACAATTTGGACTTGAGACATCAAGGAGGTCTTTATGACTAAATAGCTGGATCTATGTATGTTGTATTTTCCCCCTTTTGTATGAGTATGTTATGACTGTCATCCTCTACATGTGGCTCTGTTTTTGTGTCTCTAGGTTTTTGTGTGTAGCTATTTATGCACATGGCTGCATGTACTGTGTGTTGACTTTATGTGCCTACATACATGAATCTTTGGCTATGTGAGCTTGTGTGTGTGTGCACACCTGTCTGAGGCTACCTATGCATGTTCTTGGGTATGTGAGCATGGTATGACATCTGTGCATATGGTTCTATGTGTACAACTATGAGCCTCTAACTCTATAGTAATATATGCATGTGGTTTGTGTGTGTGTTCATGTATGTATGGTAAGTGAGACAAGGATATCACACACAGATAGACGCCTTTTTTGCAAACGAAACAAAGCTAAACCTTAGATGGGGGCAAGTGGGTGTAGCCATTTTATTGACAGATCTTCCAGCCATGGCCAATGGCCTAGTATACAGTAGAGAAAGCGTCCTTTGATTTCTCCTATTTCAGGACTTCTCCTGGCTGGAAGTGTCAGAAGAGGTGAAAAAGGCAGATGAGGTGGTCAAATGGATCAGCAGGCAGATAACAAGTAAATAGGTAGGTGTGGTGGTTAGAATCCCTAGGATCTCTTGAGCTTGTGGATAGCAGTGCTGGTGTCCATCTCTGTGGCAACAAGTACCTACAAGTTGGCGTGGTGGTTCCCAATTCCAACGGCCTCGAGAGAGTCCATTTGCTTGCTGAAAAAATCTTGGGGACCTGTAGAAGGTGGGAAGAGTCTCCAGCTAGAGATGGTAGCCTCAGCAGAACTGCTTCAGATTTGTGGCAGCACTCAGGACCTTTGTCCTCAGCCATGCCTGGTACATCCCAGGCCCAGGGCAGTGTCAGAGTAACTGCAACTGGGTGCAGGAAGCCAACCCAGGCCCCATAGATATGGTGCAACCCAGGGTAGAAGAGCAGGAGCCTCTGTGGCTAACAGCTGCAGACCCTGCTCAATCTGCAATATTGCTTGTGATGCTTTAGGGTTGGCTAGAGTTCTAAGCATGTTGGAAAGCTGGGTCTGCTGTAGAAATGTGGGCAGCTGCTGCCTCAACTGTTCATTCACCTGGGGCATACTCATGAACATCATCATCTGGGCTGCCAGGTAGGGGTTGTTCAAAAGCAACTGCATCATGGTTCCTGTGATCTGGGAGCTGGTCTGCTCATCTGACAGCTGGAAATCATCTTCTAATCTCTGGCCAGAGCTATCTAGAGAGTTGGTGGCATCTTTATCTTCTGCCTGGGGCTGTTGGGTCAGCTCTATGCTAGGTAAGGCTGGTACCCCAGCAGACTGCTGAATGGAACAGGTATGACTCTGGGCCATGGTGTCAGTTTTGGTCCTGGAAGTGTGGTTCACCTTGTTGGAGGTAGCACTGGCTGAAGTGATGGGGGATAAACCACAGGAACTAGTATAGATGACTTGAGTTGTAGGAAGCTGTGGGAGCTGGTCCTGCCATTCCTGGGGTGGTGATGGAGATGGGGATGAGGACTGGATTTGTTCAGGTACCTGTCCTTCCAGGAGGGCTGAGAGAAGGTTGCCCCCAAAGGGATCTTGTGAGCTGTTGACCATTTGATCATTGAAATCAGCATAGCTCTGACCCATTGGTAATGTCTGGACATTGTCCCCACCTGGGATTGTCTCTAAGCCCAGGTGTGACTCTGAGTTCAGTGGATTCTCAAGATTCTGTGCAGGTTGCTGGATCTGCATTATTTCTTGAATCATGGCAAGGTTCCTGGCCAGCTCCACGGTCTGCCATAGGATCTCAGAATTGTCAAAGATGTGTGAGACCTCTGGGTTCTGCTGCATCAATTGTTGCATATCTGGGTGTTCTGAGAAGAACTGTCTCATGAGGTCCGTGTTGGACAGAAGCTGCTGGATGGTAGGATTCTCCAGCATCTGTGCTATGCACTCTGGACTACCAACTTCCAGGTCCTGCATATGCACCTTGAGTGCATCAGGCTCCACAAAGAGGGCTGATTCCAATGGGGTGGGACTCACCCTAGCAGGCTGGAATACCCCACTGCTGTTTCCTGTGGTGTTTCTGTCCTGATGGCAGGGCTCATTGGTCGGCAGGTTGGGGAAGGATTGGGCTAGGGATCTGGAGCCATGTTTTGACTTGATGACCAAGTGGATGGTGTGACCATCCATGATGCCCCTCTGGCTCAGTGTGTCATGGTCTTGGAGAAGGCGGCCCATGAAGACCAGCACAAGTTGGTCCACTTGACATTTAAAGTGAGCAGATAGCTCCTCTTTGAACTGCCTCACCAAGGTGTCATCAGCTATCATAAAGTCTTCCTGCTTGCCTGGTGTCTTCACTATCACTCGAGTGACACTTGAAGAGATGTTTTTGTCTGCAGGCAAACCTGAAGGACGCCCACTTTCAGCTATCCTGGGTGTTCGAGAGATGAGATGTGGCATGGACCTTAGTGGGTGGGCAGATGCGGAGCAGGTGGAAGCAGGGGCAAAGGAGTGAGGGCAGACAAATATTTCTGCTGGTCTCTGTCTCAGGTGTTGTGTTCTCAGGCCACAGGCTAGCTTACTTGTTGCCCAAAAAGAGTTGAGGCACCAGGTATTTTACGACGTTGTACCCCCACCCCAGTTCTCCAGATGTGGCCCAGCTGAGACCTGTTGTGGCTACTGATTCATACTTGGTACAAGGTTGGATAAGTGCAGGTGACTCCTCCCAGGGCTGCCCCTCCCCTTGCCCCACCCACCAAGAGCATAACCTCTGCAGAAAAGAGATATTGTGATGTCAACTCTAGCCCCACAGTCTCTGCCAGGACTAGCTGGAGAAAGAGGACATATTTGGGGGTCCCAGGTCTCCATAATAAAACAAAATAAGACATATTTCCAGAAAACTGGGGACAAAATTCTCAGGATGGAACTATTAAAAAAAATAAATAAAAGGCCATCTTGCTTATGTGAGACGTGTGTTTCTCTGTGGTACTGTGTGTGGGTCCCTTGTAGGGATATCAGGCTTGCTGTATGAAAAGTTGACTCTACTGAAGCCGTAGATAAAACCATACACCTATGGGTAAGAGTGGAATCTCCCCTATAGGATTATTATTTTTGTTAGTGATCTGGAAAAAGTAGGGGCTTAGAAAGGAAAATGGAGTAAGATAAAAGTTCTTAAATGGAAGAAGAGGTCATGTTTTTCTCTGGATCTATATTTTGGGACTTTAGACTTAAGAGTGCTCCCATGTGGTGGAAAAAATTTTCCTCTATCCTAGAAGTGGGAGCAGGGCTAGCCAGGGAGGCTTCCTCTGGGGGCATTCGAAACCACAGGTGAATAAGCCATTCCTTGAAAAGTATTTTTTATTCACTTATCACTTGGTCTATTCTACATGTCATTATAATAGAATTTTTAGAATAATTTGTTTCAGTCCTAGCTTGATGTAAAGTGCCTACCCTTGAGTCAAAGCATTAAGGAGGACAGATGTCTGTAAATTAAGACGTAAGGGCGAAAGTGATTAGTAGTGAAATTTCTAACAGGACAGTTTTAGGTAACTAAAAAGCCTGATTCTCAGTTCCATGCAAATTTGGAGGATAGTGTCTGGTTTTTATTTGGGTAGCAGATGGATTTTTCTATTAGTGGATGTGTTAAAATGTATATTTATATCTATCTCAATGCTTGGGCGTAGATGAAAACATTGTATACGTAAGAGGGAGAATGCATATCTCTGATTGGATATATACTTGTCAACGTATATGTGTGAAAATGTAAGCATGACACGGTGTGAAGTATTCTGGTATCCTGGTATCCTCTGTGTGACTATGAAGACTTTATGGTCTGAAACTTGAACATCCCATCCACATGCCAGGAGGGGAGTTGCACCATGCAGATAGATAAGTGGCAAGTAGAGAGTCTGGGCCCATATGTTGTCAGAGTGTTAAAGATGAGCAAAGAAATTACAGGCAGTTGGTCAGGAGACTTCCTGCTATCACAGTAATGGATTCTTTACTGAGGATATCTGGACCTCCAGCTCAATCCATGTCAGACCCTCCTTATGCTCAGCTATCAGTTACTCACTTCCTAGAGCAAGACTCAGGCTTGAGCCTCCTCTCAATTACACTGAAGGTGAGATTGATTCAGGACAGTGAAACATTGATTTCACACCAAGACACTCCCCCTTTTCTCCCCAGGTACCCCACAGGAGGTTGGGGATAAGAAAGGAAAGGCCCATATCCCACTCTGTTGACCAGCTCCCCTGGATCTTCTGCACTGGAACCAGAGGATCTCAACCTGAGACTTACAGTTCTAAATCTGGCTCATAGAATCCTACAATTGTTGGAGCTGGATTCACAGTTTTCAAAATACAAAATATACTATTTGTTTTTAAACCTATGAATCCAACACCTACAATTCTAGGATTCTGGTAAGGAGTGGATAACATTTCCCAGATAGTCTTTTGATTCCCAATAAAAACTTAATCAAATCCACCTGGACCATTATTAAAGAAAACTTGAATGTACTGATTAAGATTTTAATTATAAAGAACTAACTAGATATAATCAATGCCTTCCAATAATTAGGGCTGATGGCCATTTTGGAGAGATGTCCACCTGGAGGAAAATGCACTTTTACCCATGCTCTGTCCTGGGGTCTCAGGTCTTGGAGGGCTTGTTGGGTTTGACAGGTTCTGTGGAATCCAAGTCCCAGAGGGCCTTTTGGCTGGTGGTCTTGGTAGCCTGAGCTTCAGTGTCAGGAAACTGAGTTCATAAGTATCAAGTAACCATCATTGTAGACATAGAGCTTGTGATCTGAGGGGCAGTAATTGATGACCTGCAGTGTTTCTGACATCTTGTCCAGCAGGATGCTGAGATGATGTTCCTCCTCAGTGCTGGTATCAGAAGCATAGAACATCTCCTCTCGGCAGGTGCTCAGTGAGTGTAGGGCATAGGACACCTCACAGGCTATGAAGGCCCCTGACAGGACTGGCTTGTACTGACTGGTGTGCCAGGTTTTCTTCACTTCAAGGGTGCTGACATTGAGACAACCCCCAGCCGAGTTGCCTTGCTCTCCTCAGTGGAATAGAGCACCCAGAGCGCATTCTCATCACCAACAAAATCTAAGTCCTTCCTGGGCATACCAGCTTAGGCGAAGTAGTTGTTGGTGGCACCAGGCAATAGGCACTGCAGAACCAAGGTGTTGGACTGGCCGTGTACCCTGGGCTATGGCAGTTAAAGTACATGAAGTCATTGTATATAGTATTGCCACTGCCATCACCATAGCCCATCGTCTGCTCCTCTAAGTTCTTCAGCAGTACCAGGTCGTCACAGGACTTGTGCAGCTGGTAGTAGTCAAAGTACCTAGGCCAAGTCGCATACCAGAATCATCAGGGTAACAAAATTCTATAAAAGATGAGCAGGTAGGTGTTGTAATTAATAGCAGCGGCTTTGGAATGAAATAGAATTGGTTTTTAATCTCTCCTCTTTTACTTATAATATACTATGACAAAATAAATAATGGTAAAAAAAACTACAAAAACCTGTTGACAGTAATAATAGCATCAACAGCAACAATGCCTAGTAGGCAGTGTGAGTTCATTATGTCATTTAATTATAAAAAGTAGTGTAAGGTAGGTTTTATCCCCACAGATTAGTAGACTGGGTCTTAGAAAAGTTGAGTAAATAGCTCCAGGTCACTCAGTTCATGAGTAAAATCTATAAAAGGAACAACAAAAGAATCCGCCTCACTGATTGTCAGGACTGACTGAGATAATAGAAATAAAACAATTAGTAGAGTAGTCATCTCAAGCAAGCAATCCACAAGCGCTAGTTGTTATTTTTTAATTTTTTATGGATAATCTGTACCTAAACTCCACTGCCTTCCACCTGCCCTCGAGACAAAGGTGTCCTGTGGCAGGACATAGTTCTGGAGATGGATTCAGGGAGATTTTTGCTCATGAGGTCACTTTGGAAAGTCCCTTTAACTATCCCTGACCCATCAATATTGCCATCTCTTACCATTGGGCAGTAAGTCCTGCCTTACCCATAGAGATTTTGAAAGGATTTAAAAAGCAAAAACACACAAATGTCTTTCATAGGCTACAAAATGTCTGCAGGGATTGGAGAGCATAATAATTAATAAAAACTAATCTTTCTGAGATGAGCTTCAACTAGAGTTTTTCAATGACTGGTTCAACCTGCATTCATCCTTTCCTTCCATGACCTCATACTCAGTTGGGTCAATATCACACTTGTCTGTTTACTGACTTTAAACACCTCCTCTGTGAGTTATGACTTTCTTCCGAGCCAGGCTGCCAGTTTATTAAAGGGCTCATTCATTTACTCATTGATTCATTTGGCCATCCTTACATCAAACAAATATTTAGCAACACCTACTACATTATCCACAGTTTTCTATGTAATCTCATGTGATATTCTCATATAGTTAACTGCTCTCATTTTACAGCTGGCTAAGAATGTGTCTGAGATGTTAATTTCATCTCTCCAAGGTCACTTAGTATAAGTGGCAGTAATGAGATTCAAACTTAGACCTGTTTGACTTCAAGTCTCAAGCTTGGTCAAGTTCATCCTCTAAATTTCTTCTGAACAGAAGTTAGGATTCCGAGGCTCAGGTGTAGAGGAATTTGTTCTTGAGATAAGATCAGACTAGGGATAAAACCAGTTTTTGATTATCATGGGATTAGAAATTTCAGACAGTAGGTTTGTGAAGGAAGCACATGGGAGTCTGGGCCGTCCTTAACCCATGAAGGGAACATTAAGAGGTAACCTGTCAGGCCTAGGCTAAGTTTGTCCAGCTGCACACCTCAAATAGAGAGAAATAGCTGGGATGGGGCCACAAAAAACACATTAGGGTAGCAGTAGGGAACATTTGGAATAAACCTGGTTGAAAAAGAGAAATCATCCTGGGCTCACCTGCCATCTGCATGCAGAGGGGCAAGGTAGTAGAGCGAAAGGGTTAGATTGGATGCTGAGCCCAGGCCCCAGACACCTGCCTTATATGAGCAGCCTCTCCAACTGAGCTGGAAAACAAGAGGTATGCTGACTTTCTGGAGGCCTCCATGGGCAAAAGAACCTAGAGAAGTAAGCAGGCAAGGTATGAGCTAGGTGTGGACACAAGCCACAGGGAGCAGAGTATGAAAACATAATAACCATTTGTACATTTGAGTGTATGTCCATCCACCTGAGTGCATATGTAAGTGTATAGACAGGTGTCATTTTACATGAATAGATGTTAGTGTATATGTCTGATTATGGGTGTGCTTATATGTTAAGATGTATGGGTACACCCACGTGTGAGAGTGTACCAATCTCTGTTTGCATCCCTTAGTGATACACCAAACAAGGAAATGAAAGATTTATTCTATATAAAGATCTTTACTACATACCCCTCAGTACACTGTAGCTAATCCTGCATGCCCAACCCTCTCCTTGGGGAGATGAAATCTTGGGAAATTCAGTCTGAGGCCTCACCAAGGGGCAGGGGTGAACCAGGATGTCTGGAGGCCTCTTCTTGCTCCTTCTCCTTCTCAGGCTCACTTAGCTGGCCCTCAAGGACATGCACCTCCTGGCGGAGAGCATGTTAGCTGCACTGATCAGAGTCAGCCAGAAGCTTAAGCGTGAGGCCATCATTAGCCAGTTACAGAAATGAGATGCCAGGAATGTGGGTCATCGAGTGTTCTTAAGAACTGAACTCAGGCTCGATATTTCTCAGCTCAGGGTCTTCTTCCCTAGAAAGAAGTGATTGTCAAATCTGAAATTAGATTAGACAGTAGGCTATGGAGGGGAGAGAGATTCTTTAATCCATCCAGGTACTTGGTTCTAAAGTTGGTAGAGGGGGCTCCCAGCCTCACTAATTCCTCCCTTAGCCTTAAGCTGGGTCACCATTCCTGTGCTCCCTCCAGCTCCAGGCGCAGCAAATTAAAGGCTGGGGCCTCATAGGAGACACCAAGGACAATAGGATTCCTGGACTCCAGGGCGTGGTTCATTTCTAGGACCTGGTTAACGTGGTCTTCAATGGTGCGCGCATACTCACTGACCTGAGCATGGGGTATTGGACAGGCAGTTCCCCCAAACCTCAAGATCTGTGGCTCCTTTCATCCATTCACATCCCTCACTGCCATACAGCCTATGTAATATTCTCATATCTGTCACCTTATTTGCTTCCATTAAACATTTCCCTGCACCATTCAGATTCTCTCTTCCCTTTGATGGTTAAAGCCGCACAGTAAAGAAGAGCTTGGTGAATAAATGAATGGACAGGCTCCCAACTTCCAGTCTGGCCCCATCCTGTCAACCTTCCCCAGAAGCTCCATGAATGACCATTACAAAATGCAACTGACCATATCCCACGGCTGATAGAACATTTCTAGTCACTCATTCTTACTTAGAGGATCAATTCCAAACTCAACTGCATGGCCCACAAGTCTCTCCCCTTATTGCCGCTATTTTAATTCTTCAAACTCTTTCCTGCCTCCTTTGCACTGGTCATCCCACTTCCAAGCCTTTTATTGTTCCATATGCTCTTCCCATCTTCCAGTGGATTCATACTCATTAATTCACCCATCAGTATAAGAAGCTTCCTACTTCCTACATAAGCCTCTTTATATTCTTACTACCACTGAAGGTCTCAAGAACAGTACATAATTTTCCCTTCATACAAAGGATTCCTCTCAAAGATGAGGGCTGTGCTTCCTTCCACTCCTTGTCTATCACCAGGGCTTATCCTATGCTCAAGGAAAGGCTGTGCTTGTGTAACTCCTAGCCCCAGCACCAGCCCGCAGCTCTGGCACTCACCCTGGACATCTCTTGCTCATATCTGCCCATAAGCTCCTGGGCTTCGCTCCATAGCTGCTCCAGCTACTGCAGGGGGAGGAGGTCATTGGGCAGGTGAACCACTCACTTGCATATGCCATCCTTATCCACAGAGCCTGGCACATATCTCACCAGCTGCAAAAGCATGGCCACAGGAACATTAACCATAATGAAGTATGATGGGGCACAGTGTGCTATTTAGAAACATGAGGCAGAAGAGGAGGTTGACCCTGCTCTGGAGCACCTGAGAAGAGCTTTCTCTGCACAGGAGATTGTTCTTGCCTGTCTGGGCATCCTTCTGTCTTTAAGTTTGACATACCCATTCCTTGATTTCCCAGAACTGAAGTGCAGCCCCCTTCCAGCTTCTATTGGTGTGGCCACCCTCACCCTATGTTACGCCCTGGCTGGATCTGGCTATACTTCACATTATTGGAAGCAGACTTCTCCTTGATGCTCTGGGGGAGAGAGGAAAGCTAGTTTGAAGAGAAATGTTAGGGAATCAGCTTGGGAGCTTCAGTTCTCTGCAGTATCCCCACTGTAGAGATTTAGTAGATTCCTACAACTTCACTTTGTCTTAAAGACAGCAGATACAAAGAGTTCCACATTATCAAAGAAGGGAAATTAATATTGCCAGCACGTGGGAACCAGAGTCTAGACTGAAACTTAGCATTCACAAGACTATGACAAGGTATGACTTGTAGCCCACACTTTGTAGGTGAAAAACCAGAGGTTCTAAGAATTTAAATAATATTTTACTAAGTCCCGTGATTAATAAGTGCCAAGGCTGCAAGCTGCCCCCAGGTTTCATGTTTGTTCTGGATCCCGTGGTTTTACTCCTGAGGGAGCTGCAAAGCTCCAAGCCATTTTGAGGTGGGTATGCTATGCCAGTCGTCAGGGTGAGGGTGGGAGGCAGCTGCCTTGTCTCGACTAAATAGAGGGAGGGGAGAAAGGAACTAGGGATGAGAGATGCATAATTCAGGGTCTTCTTCCTTTTGCCTGTCTTCTTACTTACATTTTTACTCAGAGCTCAGACCCACTGATGCTAGAACCATGCTGCCTGAGTTCTACTTCTGGTCCTGGGACAATGGGTAAATTACTTAATCTTTCTGTGTCCCAGTGTCCTTGTGTGTAAATGAAGATAATCATATTTTATTTTAACATCCTTAGTGCAGGAAAAGGGTTGCAGACTCCTCAGAAAACAAGGCCTCATAACAAGCAGGGTTGCAGCCCAGAATTTCCTCCTGTCTCACCTTCATCCTGTTTTCCCGCTTTCACACTATGCCTGCCCAAACCTAGGGATGCAGAGCAGACAGGGTATCCCATCCTCCTTTCATCCATCTCTAGGTCTTTCCACCTTCACTCTATCTCAAATCTAAGGGTTCTTGAAAAGGATCAGAGCAGCGCAGGAAGCCAGTCCAAAGCACAGAACCATCTTTCTATCTGCTTGTGATCCCTCCATTCTTGGCCTCTGCTTTAGGCTGTCCTGGGAGCACCAGAGGCAGCAGAAGTCCACTAGTCAGGAGAGCTGAGACAGGTTGCATCTTGCTTCAGCTGCAAGAATGGAGTAAGACCTTTGAGCTCCCCTAGGTGTTTACCTTGGCCCAAGTGATTAGTCTCAGCAGGAGGGGCATAGATTTCAATATCTGAAAGAACTGAATGTGCCACGGGGTATGGGGATGGTGTGGAGCTAGGAAGTAGGAGAAAAGGGTTGTGACAGACTGGTGCCTCCAAAGATGGGGTGGAAGTGAGTTTCTCACTACAGACAGATTCCTTCTCATCCATCCACAAGCTGACATCTGCTCCCACCCTGCTATGCCCCCTTGCCCAAGAAGATTAAGGCAAACCTGAGAACTCCTCTCGGGGCTTTGGGATGGATTATGGTCTTTCCCTCAACGTTGAGTGAGGGACTATCTAGAGGGAAATGCAACCCTACCTGCTCAGTCTCAAGGACAGAAGCCATTGCCTTCATCAAGCACCCTTGGATGAGGGCCAAGCTGTATATCCAGGGGGTTGCTTCAGCAAGACTGTACTGGCATGCTCTGTTATATGCCCTCCCTCGCCCATAGAAATTTGTCTCCTCCACTATTCTAGGCAGTCTAAACATTTCCATCCTACCCTACTATTCAAATATGTCCTGTAATTCAAGCTCCTGTTGCCAGCAGCCTCTACTTCCTGTGTTCCAAGAAAGCCCCCTCCCAATATCTCCTAACCAGGCAAGGAACCTCCAGTTCTCTGGGCTCCTAACTGGGGTATCCCTACAGAAAACGAAGAGTTTGTTTCCTGAGGCCTGCACAAGGAATAAAGCTCAGTATTCCTAGTGCTGGCCACCCTAAATTATTCTCTCCTCTTTTGCCTTCTCCCTTGAGTACTTCTCAGGCAGTGGAGAGTCTCACACCCACCCAAATGCCTAGGGAGATATCAGATTTCCTATGAAGTGTGGTCACCTCCATTTCTCCACTGAGGAATTTGGTCTGTGTAGTTCTTTTATCTGTATCGCTCCCTACTTTTCACGGCACCCTCAACTTCAAATATTGCGGGCACTTAGCATGGAGGCCCTCTGCTTACTTGTGATATCCTCCAGAACCTTTTGCCCAGCACATAATACTTAGTAGACAAAGGCATAGGAAGCCTCCATGTCCCTTCTAGGGAAAGGGTCTGAGAGCTTAACGTTTGACTGAATGTTTGACGCCAGGAAGACCCACCCAGCACTCTGTTGGGCAATCCTTGATAAGAGATCACATTCTTATACTGCTTTACAGATTCTCACCCTCTAACTCCCTGCCCAAGACAGGGATCCATTCTCCATCATCACCTCTGGCCTGGTCTTGCTGTAACCTTGGGGTCCAGAGGACCCACAGAGGTTAGGGAGATAAGAGAGGAATGAGTTGGAAAACCTAAGCTGTGTGGAGCAGGAAACCCATCCAGAATGAGTGTCTGGGTGTTACCAGAACTTTAGGGAGGGAGGGATAGAGGGAAGGAAGGGTGGAAGAACAGAATATGAAGCATGGCAACTAATGCTGGGGTCATCTTGCTATAATTGCCAACTAAAACTAGTGAGTGGTAGTAGCTGGAAAAGCAGGAGAAAGTTCAGTATCTGAGAAAAGTAGGGAAAAAGCCTAGGAAGGCAGTCATGGTATAGTCCACCAAGATTTAGGTGTTAATGACCCAGGTCAGAAACCATGTCTGTTTCCGGAACTAAGTTCTGTTTTATTCACATTGCACCATTTCCCCAGCCCCTCCTGTCTTCATCCCTTCAGCAAACATGGAGCTCCTTCTTAGTGTCACACATTGTAAAAAAGGCCCACTCACAGCCAACTTTCACTAGTCTGGTTCTGGATAGGCAAAGTGATGGAGAAAGACAAGACCCTGATTCCTGGGCTGTGTCCTGGGCCTTCTTATCTGTCATGATCTAGGTACAACCTCTTCTATATGTACGTGATATATCCATGGCGATCAACACAGAGTTAGAAAAACAGAAATAGTCTAGGCACAGTAGATCCAGGCAGCTCAGAGAGGTAAGTAGAATGTGTACGCTGCCCATATGATGGGAATAGAGCTGGAATGAGCATAAGACCACCTATCGGCAGATGATGGAGATGCCTTGGTTAGATCTCTGCCCAGACAGCTCCTGCAGCACTGTTTGGTCATCTGAGAGCACATCCTGGAGAAAATAGGGTGCTCATTCATTCCTGTGGGAGGCACACTCAGGGCCCACATCCCTCACTGTCCCTGCCTAGCAGAGCAAAGGCAAGTGCCTGAGCCTCTGAGCAATCTGCCAAGTACGCACTCCATAGACCACAGGATTAAGGGCAGGGGGGACCACCACGTAAAGATTAGCCAGTAGGATGTGGATATGGCTGGGAACTGTGTGGTGGCCAAAACGGTGAGCCAGGAAGGAGAAGAGGGTGGGTGTGTAGAAAAGAGTGATGACACTGGCATGAGCCACACAGGTGCCCAGGGCCTTGCGACGGGCACCATGAGATGGCAGGCGACAGACGGCCTGGAGAATACGGGCATAGGAAGTGCCTATGAGCCCTAGGTCCAGGGCTGAAGAGAGCAGCGTGGTGGCCAGTCCATACCAGATGTTGGGGCGCGTGTCGCCACATGCCAGCCGAGCCACACCCATGTGCTCACAGTAGGTGTGGGGCAGTGCCCGCTGGCCACAGTAAGGCAATCTGTGGAGGAGGACAACAGCAGGTGCCATGACACAGGCACCACGGGTCACAGCAGCTACAGCCACTATACCTACCACACGCTGGGTCAGCAGTGCCCCATAGTGCAATGGCTGGAAAATGGCCACATAGCGGTCCACAGCCATGGCCAGCAGCACTGAGGACTCAGCAATGAAAGCCACATGGGCAACAAAAACCTGGGCTAGGCAGACCCCAAAGGAGATCTTACCTGACAGGCCCCAGAGCACAGCCAGAGCTTTGGGCACTGTGGATGTGGCAAGAACCAAGTCAGTGGCTGCCAAAAGCCCCAGCAGCTGATACATAGGTGCCTGAAGTGCCTTGTCAGCAGCCACCAGCCCCAGTAGAAGGGCATTCCCTGCCAAAGCTGCCACGTACAGCAGGCATACAGGCACAGAGAGCCAGGCATGCAAGGCTTCCAATCCTGGTACTCCCAGCAGGACAAAGGGCCCAGGCCCAGAGATGAGCACAGTCTGGTTGAGAGTAGGCAGTGCAGGATCCAGCTCCATCTCTTGGTTCTCTCTGGTTCTGACCCTGCAGGGTCAGAAGGGGGCCTGTGAGAGGAAATCTGCAAGTTCAACAGATATTTGAGATAAGCAGGGGTGAGGATGAGGCCATAGGATGCTAGAGCATTTGCTGAGAGCCGCCTTTGTGTCAGGCACTGTTCTAGGGGTTTGGCATATGCTGATCTTTGGATTCCCTAACTGTCTGTGGGTTTGCTAATGCTCCCATATGATGAATTAAGCAATTTGGTTTCTGAGAGGTTAACAGACTTACTTCAAGTAACACATCTGGTAAATAGAAGAACTCGGACTTGAATCAAAACTCATCTGACTGAAGACCATGCTCTTCTGACAGTCTTCTCTGGCTGGGATGTCTCTTCATCAGCCCAGTTACATGGGCACATCAGAGTATGCTTCTCCTGATCACCTGTCCCAGAGGAAGGCATTCATGTTATCCAAGCCTAATCTCTCCAACTGCAGTACAGCCTCAGAGCTCCCTCCACCCTAAGGGAGATGTTAAGTCAAAAGGAAGGAATAATGGAATGGCTATTTCCTACTCCATTCATGGACAGATGCTCAGACAAGCTCTTCTTCTAAGATCCTTCTCCAGAAGCCACTTATTAGATCAGATTCACTCTTCAAAATGCCACAGTCCTCCCAACCTGTCTAGTATTTTTTCCGAGCTGCCCACAGCCTTTGACATCCCTCTCTCCAGTTATGACCCATCATAGCTCTATGTACCTAGGTCATGAAACTTTAATTCCTTATTTGACCAGTATAGACATCCACACTTGACTTAGCTTTGTGGCTCCTCTTTCTTCTGTTCTTTGTCCAAGAGAAGACCCTTTAGGTTCTCTCGAACCCAGTCTAGAAAAATTCTGATCCCACTGAGGACACAGCAGAACATCAAGGTCAGGCTTCAGTGGAAGGTACTGGGGTCAGATGCCACAATGACAGTGCAAGTGATGGTAAGGTTAAAATGGTGAAGGTGTGAGGACTTTATTTACCTAGGTTTAAATAGCCAAAGAACAGCCTAGAAGAAAGATCTAAGCTAAGGTGTGCTTCCCATGCTCTAACTAAAGATCAGACTTAATGAATTTCATGAGATATATTGTCTGGTATTTTAACCTGTCCTGAGGACTGAGGAGCCTGGGGCAGGTGAGCAGAGAATAGGGTCCCTGGCCCCTGGTGAAGCTATCAAGCTTCCCACAGTCTGTGTATGCTCCAGCTTTCTCTACAGTGCTGCCTCTTGAACCTTCTCTTAAATCCTCAGGCTTTGGCTCGTATAGAGTAGAGACAGGTAAAAAATCAGGTAGACTTTCCCACATGGAAGGCTTGTTGGCTTAGAAACCAGAGCTTCCTTCTGAAGGATGAGTCTTTGTTGAGTCATGGGGTATGGTTCTGCCCCTCTCACAGTGGGGGCACTGAGAACTCCTCTGAACCCTGGGGACATTCAGCCAGGACCCACAGGGCAGGCCCAGCCTTTATGAGGGAAGAAAATTGTCAGCTCTTTCAGAGCCTGGGAATGTCTTTCCTAAAACCACAGGGCAAGCACACCTGTACCCAGTCATGGGCCCCATAAGAAAGTTCTGTACTCAGGGTGTATGGGCCCTACAAGCACACTTCCTCTTCACAAAATTCCAGGGGCAACTTCCCCATTTCCCTCATGTCCACAACCCACACTTCTGCTCATTCCATTTCTTTGTATAGTCTAAGTGGAGAGGGGAAGATGGGCCAGGAACTCCCTCTCACCTGCCAGCCTTAGCCTCTGTCCTGTGTCCAGTTATCTGCAAGTACAGCTGCACCTTTCTCATCTTCCACCCGCCCGCTCTGCTCTCCTTGCCTGCCCAGTCCCTCACCTCATCTCCAAGGTATAAACAAGACATTCCCTCCAGGAAAGAGTATAACATCAAAAAAACATATTAATGCAGCTGGAAGCATTTACAGAAAAAGAAAGCATAGTGAAAAGAGTTCAAGAAATGAACCCATACAGATTCTATGGCTCTATTTGACCCTGGGTTTCCACTTCAACTCTGAGGGTGCTGTCATTCTGATTGTATTTGTACATGCATCTCCTTTTTACTGGCATGAATCATTGGGTGCACTGGTGGTACAGAGATCTGCATGAACCAGCTGCAGACTGAAGCTTGCCTCCTGCCATCTGCTACCTCCTCCCCTTGGGTTCCTGGCCAGAGCTCATCATCCCCGTCTTGTTTTTCTATTTATCCTTCTCAAGTGTCGCTGGCTCTTCAGAGCCTTTCTGCTCAGTCATTCACTTACTGTGTCCTGCCTAAGAGGTTGGAGGGACAAGGCATTCACCCCAGGAACAGAACATCAAAGAACATATTAAATGCAGCTGGAAGCATTAAGGGAAAAAGAAGGCATAGTGAAAAAGAGTTCAAGAAATGAACTCATACAACACATGTTCATGCTTGGGTTTGTTATATGGTTTAAGGTGAGTTGATTAATCACTTTGAACCATGGTTTAACCAAAACATGTGATCCCCACCCTGATTTTGGAGGAGACAAGAGTGGGAGGGAATGGTGGCACAGTGGTCCATTTTTCTTATTCATGTTTATTCCCACTTCAGCACAGTGGTTAAGACCCAGAGCCAATTCTGAAGCCAGATCATCTAGGTTCAAAGCCTAGTTCCGCCACATATAAGCTGTTTTACCTTGGACAAGTTACTCTAATTCTCTCTGCCTCAATTTCCATATCCCTAAATTGAGGATAATAATAAATGTAAGTGTTATACAAGAATATTGTGACAATAACTAAGGTAATGTATGTAGAGCCATTACATAGGGTACGACAGTAACTGAAACACAGTTAATGCCCAACACATGTTGAATAGTATTGTAATTGTTACCTGAGCAGTTTTATTACTCCTGGAACATGTTCCTCTCAAGTTCCTTTCCACTGCATTCTCTCACCAATTTCATAATGTGATAAAAAATCTTTTATTATATCTTTAAGAAAATAAGATGAGTTGGGGGCTGAACTAAGGATATTTGAACACAGAATGGTCCTGAGTTTGAAAAACAATTGGCTAAAATGCAGATGGAAAGAGTGAGATTAGATCTGATTAGACCAAAGAAGGAACTTCCTTTGCCAAGAGACCCAAGAAAAGGAGGGGAGTACAAGACTGTTTGTAAACAAAATGAGGAATTTGGTGACATTGTCTTCTAACCCCACTCCCAGTCCCCAGCCTCCACTTTTCCACATTCTTCTGATACAGGAATGGTGAGAGAGGAAGGGAGTGCTGATGTCTTAGTCCCAGTTCTCAAACTTAGCAGCCACACTGGTCCTCCACCCCATGCTCTCCTTTGCACTCCAAAGTTATTCTTTGAAAAAAAGTCAGAACAACTCATTTTCATCAGGATAAAGAGGCTTCCTAGAGAACCTCCTTGAGGATTAGCACTTTTAGCAGGACTTCAGTGTTTGGCTCAATATGGAATAAATCTAGGTAGGGGATAGGAAGGAAATCTTTTCAGGAGCCCCCAATTCTGTATAGGCTTTTTGTGATCTTGGCTGATGAATTTCTGCCTCTGATGGGACAGGAGACTCTTACTTCTCAGCTGCAGGGATGGGATTAAAGATGAGGAATGGGTGTTCAGCATCAATCTGCCCAATGCTGCTTGAGTCTCTGCTGCTCCAGCTTGTCCATTTAGCAGTCAGTGCACCTGAGACCTAGGAGACTCCAAAGAAACTCTGGTGGTAATCCTGGGAGAGAGCTGGTGTGGGTAAGAAGGATTTATGGGTCTCTTTTCTAAGTCCCTCAAGGGGGCCTGTTCCCTGAGCTCCTGGCGGGATTAAGAATCTTCTAGTCGCAGCTGTGAACTGTTAATGAGGAATTAGCAGAAGTCTGTAGTCATCTCTGCTGACTTTCCCGGTCCCCAGGTTTATATTCTTAGCATGCTCAGGGCCTTGAGAAAGGTAGAGGCTGAGCAGGGAGGTCTCTGCAGAAACACTGGATGAGGCAGGAGCAAACTTAAATGAAGACATACTGCACTCTACATAAATGCCAAACACAATTGCCATCTACAGATGGACAGTCATCATTATTCAGTATTGTTTCTGCCCTTAATCCTACAAAGAGACAAAGCAGCTAGGTGGAAAGAGCCTGGGCTTTTGAATCAGGCAGACCTGGTTTTGAATAACTCTTTACTACTGAGCATCCTTGAGCAAGGTCCTTAACTCATCTGACCTTAGTTTTTTACTTTGTACAACGAAGACTAGTATATCTTCCCAAAAAGGTAGTTGTGAAGACTAGAGTAACGTGCCTAAGCACCTCGGAGGGTGTCTTGACATTGTGTGACGTGGAAAGAGTCAGCTTGAGGACAAGCTCTGATTGTCTAAGGAACCTGCTGGACCCACATAGGGCAGCTATTCGACCCTAATAATAGACATTATTAGTTTCACAACATCTCCCCTCCCTCAAAATATGCACTCGCTTCCATTTAGAGGTACATAATAGAACGTGGTAAAGGCAGATATTTCATAATATGTCATTCACAGTATATATGTTTTTTTGGACCAAGTTTGAATGAAATTTTTTGTGTTCACACTGTCACAGAAGAAATTCACAACTTACAAAAAAATTCTTATATTGTTGTAATCATGAGTTTTGATATTCTAGAATAGTCCAACAAGCTCTTCTGATGTTGGGCCTTTTCCTCGTAGAGTGTGTGTGGTGTGTGCATGTGTGTACACTATGACCTAAAGTATCCTGAAGCAGTTATTGAGATATGGCCCAGAGAGCATAAGCAACAAGGCCCCTGTGCAAGTGTGATGCTTTATTCCTGCAAGTTCTGAGTGAGGAATCCAACCTGAACCACCTCTTGTGGGAGCACCCGCCCTAAGCAGGCTGCACATTTTCCAATGGGAACATAATTTTACATACTTAGGAACTAGCTAATGATATGGAAGTCCAACTCACAGAAAAAATAAAGCTGCCAAAGGATTTTTCATTGCAACTTGATGAGGGCAATGATATTGCTAGCAT